TATTGAATCTGGACATTCAATTCATGAAATCTAAGCCTCTATGATAAGAAAGTTTACTCTTTTTTCATTGCTAGGGGTGTGCCATTTCTTAATTCTGTTATTCATACTAGAAACAGAGTATGGAGGCTTTAAAAGAAGAGATTATTTTAAGTGTTTTTCATACTTCCCAATGGCTATTTCTCCTCTCATGAATAACCTTCAGTTGTTCTTTTTTTCACTAAGAAATTATTGAGGACATGCAGCAAGGTAATGGCTGATGAGTTTTGACTTGGTAATGAACAAAGTTGTTTATATAACTTTTGAAGGCACTTTGTTGTGCAAGTCTATATTTAGCCCTTAGTTTCTCCATAGGGGAATATGTCACATTAAGTACAAAGGGAATTTTTGTAGGTGATTAAATCATTTATTTCATCAAGCATGTTGCTATTTGATTCAATTATTCAAGTCAGCTAACTTTAAGCACCTACTATCTATCATGTAGGCACTGGAGATATAAAGATTAATGAGACTTTAGAGATAAAATGTTGAATGAAGTCTAAGTTAGTTACAGAGTTAAGGACAACAAAACTCTAGAGACTTAACTGAGTTTTACATTTCACTGATAAATAAAGTCCACAGAATATAAATATGTGTCTAATTCTCACAAACAAGAGCAAGTTGACTGAGACTAACACAGGACTCTAAATCCCCAGGTCAATACTACACCAAAAAAAGAATCCCTAAAATAGCCCAAGCAACTCTGTGTGTGTGGGGTGTGTGTGTGTGTGTGTGTGTGTGTGTGTGTGTGTGTGTGTGTGTATGTGTATACCTGAATCATCAGGAAACCAAACATTACTGCTGCAGACAATGCCCCAAATAGCACTCTACCTCATTTATTGGCAAGAAACACCAAATTAGAATATCAGTGTTGATCCCACAAACTACAAAAGGTAAAATAAGAACATTATCTTTTTAAGCAAAATGTAATGAAGAGGTAAGATTTGCTGAGCAATAACATCTAAGTTTTACTGAGATGGCAATATAGAAAACCTTTGGGTTAAGAGCTCATAACACACATACACATTGCTTCATGTAGACTTTAAACAGTACTTTAAAAGCATCCTCTTTGAATAATTTATTTTCTTACCAATGGTAATATTTAACTGATTCAAGCCATGATTACTTAGTAATGCATACCTATACTGTGTAACATATGATACATATGTTATATATTCATTATATGAGATCATCAGATGACAGGGGCCAGAAAATAATTTGTAAATAATGGTTTAGAAAAAATATGAATAAACTTATATCTATGCTCCAATAAATCTGTTTTTAACATATCTCTAAAATGACTGTGCATACTCAGAATAGCTATATTCTTATTTCTAGTTTTTAAACTTGTTTTTAAAAACTAAATATAGTATATAAACACATGCCCTTTGTAAAAATAAATACAAGTAATTTCTAAGCATACGACAAATACATTTCTTATTTAAGATGATTCCCAGGACATGCCTTTATCTCTTCCTGCTACAGAGACCCAATTAATAATAGTAAAAGAATAAAATACAAACTCAACCACAAAGTAACCTGATGCATGAATTTGTATTTGGGAGCAACCAGGAGATGAGACAGAGGAACATGTTTCTAGAGGACAGAAAATAGATATGAGTGAAGTGTCAGATAACATGGGTTCTGTAGCCAGCAACCATGGCCCTTTCTTGTTAATAAAATCTTGTATGGCTGGCATCATATACTACTGCAGGGATTAAACCAGTATTTACCTAATTCAATGACTAACAGTAGTTGCCTTATTTCGATTTACCAAATATTCAGTTTTAAATCCTTTCTTGCAGCTAAGGCTGGCCACGTGATGCAGTTCTGATAATAAAATGCTAGAGAAAGTAAGTTAAGAAACTGTAGCACAACTTTTGCCTTCACAATAAAAAGAAAGAAATATATGAGGAAAGTCTTTTGCTGTTTCCCTACTTTGGATGCTGTCATGTGAGTATATGAATGTGTGTAGTTGTTGCCATCAACTTGTGATCATGAGAAGAAGACCAAAGAAAACAAAGTATTGCGGGCACAGTGCCTTGGCATCACTGAAGTGCTGAACAAATGCTGGCCTTGCCTACTCCCAAATTTTGTTTTGTAATATAATGACATTAATGTATTGGATAAACCAATGCTATTCAGGTATTTTGTAGCCTGCAGTTAAATGTATGCTGGTGGTTACTGATGAACCTTGAAGGGAAAGCAGAGGGAACATGGAGTATATGTACAAAGAACAGGAGACAAGGAGACAGCAGGTGTCCTGGAAGAATACTAAACAGCCTCTTAGTTAAGAAACAACAGGACCACAGAAGACAGAACAGAAAGTGGGTGACTTATGCTGATGGTAGGTATGAGACATCCCTCCCTCCATGTTGCAGAATAGTCTGTAGCCAACCATGTATCTGAGGATGGCGGAGGGAAATGTCAGTGGTTCTTTTATAAGGCAATTGAATGAGAGGGAGAACTAGGACAGTTAAGAGAGATGTCAGTGGCCTAAAGTAAAGCCCTCCTCATTCTGGTATTTAGAGAAATATGAGGACAAGCTCCCCACCTATTTACCCTAAAGAAAAACTTTAAATTAACAAATTCTGCAACATTACCAGAGTTTCTTGTCTTTAAATGTGATTGGACATCAATAGATTACCGAAAGAAAACATTCAACGCACCAGAGAAAGACCTAGAAAAAGAGATAAAACAATGATTCCACAGTAAAGAGAAAGAGTTCAGAAAAGAGAAAATAAATTCAAATAAAAATTTAGTAAGTATAAGGATAAAAAATAAAAACAAAACTAATTTTTCTTTTCACTTTGTATAGCTGTAATATGACATATTTTACACATATAATTCATCAAAGCATACAATTCTAACATCTTTAAGTAAATTTACCAAGTATGAAACCATCGCCACAAATCAGGTTTCAGAATATTTTCATTACCCAGATAAGATTCCTGTGCCCACTTACTGTTAATTCCCTTTTCCATCTTTTGCCGCAGGCAACCACTAACCTGTTATCTGTCTCTGCAGATTTGTATTTTCTGGATATTTTACATAAACGGAATCACACAGTGTGTGGCTTCTCATGTCTTACTTCTTTCATTTAACATTCTACACAAGATTTGAAACTGACACTTAGATTTGTTTGCCATAATATGGCAATCATAAATTATAATAATATGGCATTAGTACTTTAGGAATTTAATTTTGGAGTAGTATTCAAAATGCTTCTTTTAATTACCTTGTTTATATTATAGTAGCAGGTGAATTTCATGGTATGGTAATTTGCTTTAAAATTGACCAAAATAGATTTGTTTTCCTACACAAACACACACACACACACACATTCAGGCACAAAAACATGCAAACACGCAGACTCCACAATATTATTTAGCAGGTTTACAACATTACAATCTCGACATGAATGACAGCAGACAGCATAATTGATGGCTTAGGTGACATTTCCTAAAATGCTCTCTATCTTCTCAGACTGGTTCACATGTCCTTCTCTAGTATTCTTGGAGTTTGCATATATGTGACATTGTTCTTACCAGATTGTATTCAAATGAACTCCGTATTAAGATAATGCCTCTATTTACTATCAGAATGTCATATAAAAGTAGATATGTTTGATTCATATTTTCAGTTCTAACATCAATCAAGTACATAGTGTCTACAGCATGATTTATTCACAATGTTTGTCAACATAAATAGGACTTATTTAAATTAGCTCAAGAGTGTGAATTTAGACATTTAATATTTACTGTATTTCCTTTTGTTAGGTGACTAAATTGTAGAAATACTTCTATCATTTCTTTTTTCAAATTTGTTATTTTGAAGCTAAATGTTTAAATTATTTCCAAATTAAAAATAATCAAAGCCTACGGTAGTTCAAATCGTAATTTTTGGAAAACAAAATGGAAAATTATCTCAATAGCTATATAACTTCAGCTGGCCAATAATGAAATCCAAATTTGCAAATGTTTGTTTACCATATTTTGGAAATCTAAATTTCCGTAAGGAATTACCCTTAAAAGTCATTTAAATAGAGAGTCCCTCTGTACATGTGGAATATCATTTTCTTCATACTGATCTCATTGGGAATATACAAACTACATTAGACATGCCTATAATATATCTAAACCTCTGGTCTAGCTTTGTTTGATCATAGGACTTTCTAAGCCAATGTTTGGACTCATTTTGGCTTCTGTCTAGACTATACCGTCTGCTTGCTACCTTCCAGAATTCATAAAATCTTCTTTCTAAATCATCACCCCTTTCTTTTTTCAACTCCTTTGCGGATGGTGTATTCCATTTTCTGCATCTCTTTTGTTTCTTTTTTATTTCTTATTTCAGGGAATTGTAGTGGGAAGGATAAGGTATAGTGTGTTTCAACCTTCCATTTAAACCAAAAGTCTCAACTGATTTTTTGTTTTGTTTTGTTTTTTGTTTTGTTTTGTTTTTTGTTTGTTTGTTTTGAGATGGAGTCTCTGTCACCAGGCTGGAGTGCAGTGGCGCAATCTCAGCTCACTGCAACCTCTGCCTCCTGGGTTCAAGCGATTCTCCCGCCTCGGCCTCCCTAGTAGCTGGGACTATAGGCGCCCACCACCACGCCCAGCTAATTTTTGTATTTTTAGTAGAGACAGGGTTTCACCATATTAGCCAGGATGGTCTCGATCTCTTGACCTTGTGATTCACCCTCCTCGGCCTCCCAAAGTGCTAGCATTACAGGTGTGAGCCACCGCAGCCGGCTGTCTCAACTGTTTTTTTAAAAAAGAACATTATTTTAAGATTGAGTGTTGTCAGTTGGATACTTTTAATTGTCAGAAGGAATTTGCTGATATAATAAAAAATGCTGCTAATAATTGTTTTTTCACACCATGAGACGTGTCTTAAGTTGTGGGAAGCCTTAATGGCTTTTAAAAGAAAATGATCAAACAAGTCATTCTTCTTTGTTGTTTTTATAGAGATTTGCCTGCTGACCAAAGGACGTCGTACTGCCAGTGTTCGAGCTGATACATATTGTCGTCTTTACTCACTTTCTGTGGACAATTTCAACGAAGTCCTGGAGGAATATCCAATGATGAGGAGAGCCTTTGAGACAGTTGCCATTGACCGACTAGATCGAATAGGTACTCTAGTTTTCTACCTTCTTTATATAAAATTTAGTTTTAATCTCATGGCATAATATAGGTTTGCAATTATAAGTCCCAAATGCGGCCAGGAGTGGTGACTCATGCCTATAATGATATCACTTTGGGAGGCCAAGGCGGTGGATCATTTGAGGTCAGGAGTTCGAGACCAGCCTGGCCAACATGGGGAAACCCTGTTTCTACTAAAAATACAAAAATTAACCGGGTGTGGTAGTGTGCGCCTGTAATCCCAGCCACTCAGGAGGCTGAGGCAGGAGAATTGCTTGAGCCTGGGAGGTGGAGGTTGCCGGGAACCAAGATGGTACCACTGCACTCCTGTCTGGGAGAGAGAGTGAAATCTTGTCTCAGAAAAAAGAAAAAAAACAAGTGTCCAACATGCCAGTTTATAGCTTACTTGTTAATTTGTGTAGAAATAGCAATTAGCTGTAGCCATATTTCTTGAGAGATCTGGGTCCCTATCTATCTCCTCTAAGTATTCTAGGTTTATTTATTAATGTCTATTTTTGCTAGCTAAACAAACTGATTTCCCGACTGAAGCCAAAACAATTTGAAACTTCAGGTAAAAAGCAATGATAAAAATTCTAGATAGCATTGAACTAGAACTAAAACTATGATAATATGAGTCTATATTGCAAACTAAGTTTTATCACTTCTTTTGTATTTTGGGGTCAACTTTACATTTTATCTTTATATTAGGAATTGAAAATTTGCACATTTAAATTAGTCTCAGCAGAGACATAGTAAAATGTTTGTAATACAGACTCAAGCAGAAAAAAAAAAGCCTTGATAGAAATGCCCTACATAGATGCTTTAGCTCGCAAACATCAACATATTTTAAAGTCTTTTCTGCTACCATATATATATATGCTATTTTATTTATATATATATAAAAAAAATATACACCCAGCTAATATTTTGTTTTAGTAGAGACGAGATTTCACCATGTTGGCCAGGATGGTCTTGATCTCCTGACTTCATCATCCATCCGTCTCAGCCTCCCAAAGTTCTGGGATTACAGACATGAGCCACCCCAGCCTGCAGTTAATTTTTATAACAATATTTACATGAAATGGTTTGTAATCAATACTGGCAATGTAATTTCTAATAAGCACTAAAAAATTGAATTTTTGATCTTTATAAAATTGTAAGAGTGTATTAAAAGTTACATTATTTTTCCCAAGGTTAAAGATACTTAGATTAAGATATTTTGACTAATCACATAATCAGAAAGAAACATTATGCTTCTCGGTTTTGTGGCCATTGCATATAGATGTAAGCTGCAGTTAGTTAAGCAAATATGCTAAATAGTATTTATGTTTATTACTAATGTCGGAGATTTTGTTCTTTGGGAAATTAGGACAGTCCGTAAGTAGGGGGAGGTAACTATTTATTCTGGCAGTCATTTAAAATGATTGCATTCCCAGCAGTCAATGAAATTACAACATATATTTATTTTCAAAAATATACTTTGTTACTTTTAATGTGTTACATTATTTAGCAGTATTGCAAATTGATTCACTTTTCAGTTACCATATTCACTTGGGTATTCACTTGATACCATAGAAAAGTCACTACTTTCCCCTTCTTTCACCAATCTACTATTGATTGTAATCATTATTATGCCAGAGACTGTCTAGTATTGCAAACCACTCAGAAGATGATGGCAGGAAGAGCTAAAATGTGTTGAGGTATTAGAGAGAGCCTGCAATGCACTATGCCCTTGGTCCTCACAACAACCATTCAGAAGAGGAAAGATCATAAAGTCGGTTTCAATCTTGGCTGCATTTAAGAATTCCCTGGGGAGGCCGGGCGCGTTGGCTTATGCCTGTAATCCCAGCACTTTGGGAGCCCAAGGCGAGTGGATCACAAGGTCATGAGATCAAGACCATCCTGGCTAACAAGGTGAAAGCCCATCTCTATTAAAAATACAAAAAATTAGTAGGGCATGATGGCGGGTGCCTGTAGTCCCAGCTACTCAGGAGATTGAGGCAGGAGAAGGGTGTGAACACGGGAGGCGGAGCTTGCAGTGAGCCGAGATCCCGCCACTGCAACTCCAGTCTGGGCAACAGAGCGAGACTCCGTCTCAAAAATAAAAAAAATTTAAAAAAAAAATTTAAAAAAAAATTTTTTTATAAAAAAATTAAAATAAAAAAAAAGAATTCCCTGGGGAAATTTGCTTTTAAACTACTGAAATCCAGAGCCCATGTCTGATTATTTAGATTTAATTGGTAGGGAACAAGTGGATGTTAGTATTTTTTAAAGCTCCAGAGATAAGAAAAATATCCAGCTAGGACTGAGAAGGACTGGTGTAGGACCCTGGGTCGAAAGCAAAGGCGACCCTGATACAGTCCGCCTCAGATTTGCATTTGGGAATCACCTGCGGATCTTAGTAAAATGCAGCACCTGATTCAGTGAGTGGGGTCACGCCCAGGAGGCTGAGTTTCTAGCAAGCACCCAGATGAGACAGAGGCAGTTGGTTCATTTTCCATAGTAAGGATGTGCTATCACTTTTTTGTGTGTATGGTCTTTCTCAGCCCTGTTAACCTGCCAACCATGTTTTCTTTGTTTTCTTGGGCACTGTTCTTATTCTTCTCATGTCCTGATATCCTTTCAGGTAAAATGAGATTATGAACACACCTATCTGACAGGGTTGCAGGTTACATAAAATCATCTACCTAAGGTCTTTTGTAGAGAGCCTATCACACAGTAAGTGTTGAAATGTTCTCGCTTATATCTCCATGGTCCTTTCTTGAAAAAGTAACTTTAAAATCAAATGTTGATTCCAAGCCCATCTTATTCCAAAAACCCTTTCTTCCCCCATTCTTCAAGGTGGCCCTCATATTAAATATCTCCTTGTCTTCTGTAAAGTGGCTCTTCGCCATATTACAGGCCGTTCAACTTGAGTAGAAGGTAAGAGTTCCCAGAGAAATACAGGAAGTGTGAAAGGTAGGAGCGACATTGTTATTTGGTGTGTAAAGGTGAGTGACTGGCTTTTTAAACCTCTCCTGCGAAGCACAGCTATACTTTTGTTTTCAGGAGCCACTCTTACTTGGCGTTGTCTTCAGTCATTGGTAGGCTTTCTAAGTTCCTATCTTTCTTTTGCTGACAGGAAAGAAAAATTCAATTCTTCTGCAAAAGTTCCAGAAGGATCTGAACACTGGTGTTTTCAACAATCAGGAGAACGAAATCCTCAAGCAGATTGTGAAACATGACAGGGAGATGGTGCAGGCAATCGCTCCCATCAATTATCCTCAAATGACAACCCTGAATTCCACATCGTCAACTACGACCCCGACCTCCCGCATGAGGACACAATCTCCACCAGTGTACACAGCGACCAGCCTATCTCACAGCAACCTGCATTCCCCCAGTCCCAGCACACAGACCCCCCAGCCATCAGCCATCCTTTCACCCTGCTCCTACACCACCGCCGTCTGCAGCCCTCCTGTACAGAGCCCTCTGGCCGCTCGAACTTTCCACTACGCCTCCCCCACCGCCTCCCAGCTGTCACTCATGCAACAGCAGCCTCAGCAGCAGGTACAGCAGTCCCAGCCGCCGCAGACTCAGCCACAGCAGCCGTCTCCGCAGCCACAGACACCTGGCAGCTCCACGCCGAAAAACGAAGTGCACAAGAGCACGCAGGCGCTTCACAACACCAACCTGACCCGGGAAGTCAGGCCCCTCTCCGCCTCGCAGCCCTCGCTGCCCCATGAGGTGTCCACTCTGATTTCCAGACCTCATCCCACTGTGGGCGAGTCCCTGGCCTCCATCCCTCAACCCGTGACGGCGGTCCCCGGAACGGGCCTTCAGGCAGGGGGCAGGAGCACTGTCCCGCAGCGCGTCACCCTCTTCCGACAGATGTCGTCGGGAGCCATCCCCCCCAACCGAGGAGTCCCTCCAGCACCCCCTCCACCAGCAGCTGCTCTTCCGAGAGAGTCTTCCTCAGTCTTAAACACAGACCCAGACGCAGAAAAGCCACGATTTGCTTCAAATTTATGATCCCTGCTGATTGTCAAAGCAGAAAGAAATACTCTCATAAACTGAGACTATACTCAGATCTTATTTTATTCTATCTCCTGATAGATCCCTCTAGCCTACTATGAAGAGATATTTTAGACAGCTCTGGCCTACACGTGAAATGTAAAATATATATACATATACTATAAAATATATATCTAAATTCTCAAGAGAGGGTCAAAAGACCTGTTTAGCATTCAGTGTTATATGTCTTCCTTTCTTTAAATCATTAGAGGATTTAAAATGTTGTTGTAAGATTATTTATTTCTAACCTACTTTTACTTAAGTCCTTTGATATGTATATTTCTCTGTTTTATGAAGAGTTCTTGGATTCAATGGAAACAAAACTGATTTTAAAAAAGGCAACTCAAATGAGCTAGCAAATAGCACCAATCAAAACTTTCTTTCATTAGCTGTGACTGTGCATCTAAATTGTTAATCATTAATCATGAAGAATTAAATAACAAATCCCATTTTATAGATCTAAATTGTATTTCGGTGCTTTCAATTTCGAATTAGGTTAAAGACTGCACTACTTGCTTGGCCACTGTAGGAGACTAGCATTGCCACTGTTAAGAATATCACTAACCTCCTACTTCGGAGGCTGAGGCAGGAGAATGGCTTGAACCCAGGAGGCGGAGCTTGCAGTGAGCAGAGATAGCGCCACTGCACTCGAGCCTGGGCGACAGAGCGAGACTCCGTCTCAAAAAAAAAAAAAAAAAAAAAAGAAAGAAAGAAAAAAGAAAAGAGTATCACTAACCTCAAACATGTTCATTGATCTTTCAGAAAGCTGAGGGAAAATTAATATTTGTCTTCATGTGTTATCGGACTTTTACCAAGACTCGATCAATGTTAGTTGTAAATAACTTTTTCAACCCAAATAAAAATAGCTATTCTGTGTTGTATGAAGCTAAAAGTCATTGTTTAAGAGTTTAGTTTTATCGCTTCACTTCAAAACTTAGAGTTTTAAATTTCACAAAATCTGATTGTGAGAATTATTCAATTGTAATGCAATGGCTTGAAACCTACAATATTATTTTAACCTGCAATGTTTTATGCAAAATTGTATGCTCGAATCTACAACTTGCTTGTATTACACCAAAAATCATTATTTTTCTTTCTTCTTGCCATAATCAAGCATCTGAAAATAGTCCCTGCATGCTTCTGGGGAAAAAAAAAAAAAATAGGTTCAAATCAGCCATTGTAGGGAAAGGCTTACAGTATTTCTCGTTTCTAGAAAAGCATAACAATTCATTAATTGCCTCTCTTATAATTCCTATAAGGCTGACTTGGATCTCTGACTTAAGTCTAGAAGTGAGGTTTTCACTTTTATTTAATATTATTGCTATTATTATTTAAATAATTATTTGTAAACCACAGCTTGATTTGGAGTTAAGTATTGTCTATGTCTTCACTGTAGCTGGTAATTTACTATGGTGTTAATTTAAAGAAATAAATTCAATACAGCATCACGTCTGTTTGGGAACACACATTTTGCTCTATGTATATTGTAACTAAATGGTTAGTAAACTTTAAGGCATGTGGTGACTAATGTAGCCCTTAGATAGGAGGTTTGTCCTTTTTTAATGTGTTGAAAATAGTACAGACATGGTGGCAGAAAGCAGGGGTAAAGTTGAATGTCTGTGAGCATTGTTTGTCTATTTTCTTAACTCTTTCCATGATCTGTGAGCACCTGCTTCTTCTCAAAGAACTCCCTTAGTAATCATTTGTGCCTAATGCATCCCACACATGTGGCGTATGACTGGAACACAATTGAAAGATACCTAATAACTGGCTTCTGTAAATAACCCAAGTTAACAGCATGACGTAAGTGTAGGTCTTCAGTATCTCTGGCATTGGCAATACATTTAAGAACATACAGAGATTACACATTATATGGGGCAGGGCCTGCAGATAGACTTGAGGACAGAAAACAAAAACAAAAGCAAAAACTCTAAAGTGAATCCTTGCTGCCTGTTATGCCTTTTGCGGATATAATACCTATAATACCCAAATGAGTTGTTATGTTTAATTTCAAACAAATACCAATTTGTGTGGAAGTAATTAACAATGCTAGTTAATGTAATGTAATCATCAGTATGCTGGTGACATATGATGGATGTCAGGAATACTGTTGTAAGAAAGGGATTGTTCAGTCTACCTAGAACCTATGGGAAAGCTGCAAGACCATTTACATATCAGTATAAAACTCCTTTATTTTATTAAAATATGAGAGTTAACTTCAATTTATTAAGAGTATGTATTGGTCCTTTAAATTATTAAAGGTTTACATTTGATAGGATTAATGGATTTGGTAGTGAAATATTTTTATATATATAAATTTTTGGTTTTTTATTTTGAGCACTATTGGGAAAAATAAGCAAAATTGAAATGCATGGTCTTTCAGTGCAACCATACAATTTTTATTCACTTTGTAATAGAATGGACAAAAAAACTAAGGTTTATATGTTAAACTAATAAAATGGTACAGGGTAAATTATATACATATATGTATGAATGTATATATACTTAGATTAAGAAAAAAAAATGACTCACATTCCTGTAATATAAAGGTCCATTGCTAGTTGAAAAGTGACCTCTTTTCTCTGTACATAGTGAAGCCTGTACGTATGGAGTTTTAATCTGTACAGAAAGAAATGTATTATTGATTGGTCTTTCTCCTGCTGGGAAGATAATAGAATAGCTTATTCTTACAACAATTGTATGATCAGGGATGAGTTAGAGTATTTCTTTTGTCTTTGCTCAAAGCCATACATATATAAATATATATAAAGATTATTAATAAATTCAACAAAAAATAAACTACAATCATGAATATTTTATTTTATCAATATATGCTAATCAAATGTTTTATTTTATTAATGAGTACAGCTTTGCCTCTATTTTTACATCACAAAATTTCCAAGAGCTTATACTTGATAATCACATAAAATCAATTATATTCTATAATTCTGGAATAAGAGGACTTTAAATGGAACATGGATTTTTCAACCACTTCTCTGTTTCACCCTTTACATATAGTAAAATATGAGCTTATTTTCTTTTTCACTCTGTGCCTTTTTAGAATGTGGTTGTTCTCCAACTTCAAAACACAGCCATTTTATGTAATTATTGGATATACGGATGAGAAATAATTTTCCTGTAATAGTAAATAATTGTCCTGTAATATATTTATACAAACCTATTTTGTTATAATAGTTCTATAACATACCAATTTTGTTATAATAGTTTTATAGCATACCTATTTTGTTATAATAGGGCCTTGTGCTCTATTATAACAAAACAGGTTTATATAAATATATTCATATTTATAGCCTTAAACAAAATAGGTTTGTATAGTACGCCCAAAGCCCTATTATAACAAAATAGGTTTGTATAAATATATTCATATTTATAGCCTTGGGCCCTGCAAAGGTATTTGGATAGTGATAGAACCTCCCCATACAACTGTGTTTTAAATGATACCTAAAAGCCTGAGATACAGTTTATCATAATGAGAATAAGTAGTAAAGCATTCCTGAAAACAAGGATGATAAATAGTAGCGATGGCAATATATTCTATTCACCAAAAAAAATAGCTTGTCTCCAAGTCTGGTTGACCTCTTCATAAGTGAATGATTCCCTGATGAATGCTGTTCCACTTTAAAGAGATGGTTATTTTGCGATTTATAAACTTAAATGAGTATACTATTTTCAGGACGCTACAAAGTACATAGGCAAGTTATTACCGTCATTCCTATAGGACATGGAATGATTTAAACAATATGGCATGTTTACAATTTTAGGAGATTTATTTCAAATCCTGAATTATGTGTACTTCAAATTATGAGCAATCTCTATTATCTTTCAAGACTATTTTAAAAATCTCCATACCTCCTCTTTCAGCTTAGGTTTTTATATTTGTTGATTTTACTATGTCACTTTGCTTCTCTGGCCCTCATTTGCACCATTTATAATGTTAAGCTGTTTGAATGAGATATCTCTCCATTATATCTTTATCTTTTTAGAACATGTGCCATAAAACCCATGTGGTTATTTTGTTCATATGTACTACAACTAGCAAACTTTTATTATATGTTCACCTACCTTAAAAATTACTTATACTGTACCATGGGAAAGAAACATGGTCCTTATAGAATTGAATGCTGAGCTATTTTGAGTCCTGAAAAGAATGGCCAAAAATTTAAGGAACTGTGGTTGCTGCATGCACCAAATTGTAGCACATTTCTATAACTGTATTCAATATGGTTATTGTCAAGGAAAACTAGGATAGAAATTTCCTTTTAAAGATTTGCTGTTGTACTTAGGTAAGTATATCTGCTTTTACCACTCAAAAACAATTGCTTTCTTAAGCAATTTCAATTTTTTCCTTTTTAACAACCCTGCACTTGCACAACCCTGCCTCTCTTGCCTCACCCTAATCCTGACCCTGCTTTCAATTCAGGCTTTGACAGGGACCAATGGAGATTTTAAGGTTTTTTAATGAGAGAAGCCTTGCTGACATTCCCCCCGTCCCACCTTGAAAATTGCTTAAAGATGATCTTAAAAGAACCTACAGATAATGCTCTGAATTTGTTTCCAAGGTCCTTGATGTGGAGAGAATGAGTTATATTAAATGCTGGAGAAAGACTTATCATTTAGTGAAAAATTAAACATGCTTTTCTAAAATGTGGATGTTTAACAGAGCACAGCTGATTGGGAACACGGGCAGTTCAGTGCAGCTGGAGTGTCTCACAGGGTGAAGAGGAACCCAGATCAAGTGGGGAATAGGGATTTCAAAAACCTTCTGAAGGCTTTTAACATCAGGGCAAAAGTTTTACAGTGTTATACTTTATATTCTTAATTTAAACTTATCAGCGGGAAGGATTCACAATGAAATGTCTGTTTTGCTCATGTAACAAGGAATAAAATAATTTATTTTATTATTTAAAATAATAAGAGCAAAAACTGGCAGCTATTTGCAATCTCACCCTGCCTTGTGAGGATGCTGGGTCTTAAGGAAGGTCCTAGGATTGCTAAATAGAGTAATGGGAATAGGAAACTGAAAGTTTACTTGCTTTGCATAAGAGAAGGAATATATTGCAGCAGGGAAGGGGCACAAGAAGATAAGAGCTAGAAGAACCTGTGAGAAGGGAAAGAAGTGACAAACTAATTTTGGCTAAAATAAAGCAATTTCTCAGGTCAGGCGTGGTGGCTCATGCCTGTAATCCCAACGCTTTGGGAGGCCAAAGTGGGAGGAATGCTTGAGGCCAGTAATTGGAGACCAACCAGAGCAGTAGGTCAAGACCTGGTCTCTACAAAAAAAAAAAAAAAATGTTAATTGACCAGTATATACCTATATACCTGCAGTGTTTAGAAAGCCTGACTACAGGTGGTGTACTCCTGTAGTCCTAGTTACTCAGAAAGTTAAGGCAGGAGGATCGCTTGAACTCAGGAGGTCAAGGCTGCAGTGAGCCTTGTTTATGCTGCTGCACTCCAGCTAGGGGGACAGAGCAAGACCCTTTCTCAAAAAAAAAAACAAACAAACAAAAAAGTGAAGCAAGTTCTTTAATTTCTATTGGCGATATCACACACTCCAAAGACTGGCAAAGGTGAACATTCTTTGGAGCTATTTTATTTCTAATGTAATATCAATGGCCATTTACTCCCAAAGGAAAACATCTTTTTTTTTTTTTTTTTTTTTTTTTTAAGATGGAGTCTGGCTCTGTCACCCAGGTGGGAGTGCAATGGCAGGATCTTGGCTCACTGCAACCTCAGCCTCCCAGGTTTAAGCAATTCTCCTGCATCAGCCTCCCAAGTAGCTGGGATTACAGGTGCCCGCCACCCACCATGGCTGGCTAAATTTTTGTAATTTTTAGTAGAGACAGGGTTTCACCATGTTGGCCAGGCCAGTCTTGAACTCCTAACCTCAAATGATTTGCCCACCTCATCCTCCCAAAGTGCTGGGATTACAGGCCTAAGCCACCGCACCTGGCCCTTCTATTTTTTTCTACATAGTTGTTCCAATAATACCATATAAGCAAAGAATACTATTTATTTATTCAATTGAAGAAATCTGAATAAAGTAGTAACTATAATAATTCTTCAAAAGAGAAGGACCATTTTATGTTTCCAATATATTATATAATTGAATTCAAGTAACACAGAGTCATTCCGACTTTTTTTTTTAAATAATGGAGTTTTGTAAAAAACAGGTTGTAATTTTACCAGACTGACCATCGCTCTCTACAGAAAATATTCATATGTGTAGAGGCAAAGAGATTTTTTTGAAAGGTTTTTATTTCCTGTTAAATTCACGAGGAAAACTCCAGAGAATGGAAAGATTTACTTTTGAAGGAAGAAAGAACATAACCCAAAGAAATTCAAAAGATTCAAAAAGAATTTTCCAAATGCATTCTCATTTCTTTCTCATATTTGTTCAAGGTCTTAGTTTCCAAGCATTTAAAATTAAATATTGTTTGCCTAACTTTTCTAACATCTATCACCAACCTATCCTATTACAATTCTGTTTAAAATGTACAGTTCTAAATGTCCTTGCGTGCCTCACTATGGAAAGTGTGGTGCATATAACTGCAGCATCAGTATCACCCAGAAGTTTGTAAGAAGTGCAGAGTCCTTGGCCTTACCCTGTACCTACAGAAGTCTGCTTTTGGGCAAGATCCCCAGATGATTCATATGTGTGTTAATATAGAAAAGAGTGAAACTAGTAAGTCCTAGAGGAGGTAAATTTTAAGGGTTTAAGGGCTTTTTAAGGGAACCTCCAAGTGTGAAGACATTTCTGGAGATGATAAGTCAACATAGCATGGGATCTTGGCTAAACAAGGAAAGCGAGAGAACATTAAATAAACACAAGGAACCTGAAAGCAGCGACAAACCACCTATGTCATAATTTTATCCTGGACCATCCAAAGTTTACTCTTGATCATGCTGTCTAACGCAGCCTGCCTCCTGGCACTTGCTACTTAGAAACAGGGAAGAGAAAACTAATAAGAGTTAGGTATTATAATTTCCTTATGTCAGATAAATTTTGGTGCCATAGCTAGCAATGTTTCTTAATATACCATCCGTACAATGTGTCCATTGCCTTCTGTAACATTTTTAATGATATCAATAATACATTGACATTGTAAAAATAAATGAATGTGGTCAATATTTTGCAAATGAGCTTCTCTTCATCAGCTATGTCTGTATACCTGCAGTGTTTAGAAAGTCTGACTACAAAAACTGGTTCTACTGCCTGTGACTTGTGTACTCATGGTAGAATTATATAGTCATATTGTGTCTGGAATTGGTTCCTTATGGTGGGTTCATGGCCTTACTAACTTCAAGAATGGAGCTGCGAACCTTCAGGGTGTTACAGCTCTTATAGATGGCACAGACCCAAAGAGTGAGCAGCAGCAAGAGTGAAAGAACCAAGCATCCACAGCGTGGAAGGAAACCCCAGTGGCTTGCTGCTGCCAGCTGGGGTTGGCCAGCTTTTATTCCTTTATTTGTCCCCTCCCATGTTCCATTTTTGTCCTATCACGGTGCCCTTTATCAATCCTCCCCGCCACTGGCTACTTTTAGACTCCTGCTGATTGGCGTGTTTTACAGAGCACTGATTGGTGCATTTCACAGAGCACAGGTTGCTGCATTTTACAATCCTCTTGCTAACTACAGAGCACTGATTTGTGTGTTTTACAATCCTAGCTACAGAGTGCTAATTGGTCCATTTTACAAACCACTTGCTAGCTACAGAACTCTGATTGGTGCGTTTTACAATCCTAGCTACAGAGTGCTGATTGGTGCATTTTACAATCCTC